AAGTCCACAATTTATGAGGCCCAAAACCTACCCTACCTTACTCTACACTATAAATACTCCATTTGTCCCTAAAATTTTTTCCACACAAAAGGTTAGTCTTATTTTCTTTCTCTTTAATTTTATTTTTCCTTTCTTTTTCCTTTACTTTCTTTTTCTTTCTTTTCTTTCTTTCCCTTTTCTCCCTTTATACGTGAGCATGGCTCACTAATCCCACCCGTTTCCGCCACTCACCCCATCGGAATTCAGCCACCGTCGCCACCTCCGACCGTCGGCGACCCACCACCGACCCCACGTGGCCCTTACTTCTTCTTCCTCCTTTTTATTTTTATTATTTTGTGTAATTTTATATGTAATTGTTTGAGTTTTGATTTTATAGTATAAAGATTATATTTTTAGTATCAAATTCATGTTTTTAATAGCTTAAATTTATGTTTTCAGATTATAATTGTTGTTATAATTTTTAGATTTTATAATTTTAAAACATATGGTTCCACAATTTATTGAAATTGGGATTTTAGGGTTCTTATGACTAGTTAAATTGGGGATTTTTTCCTATTGCAATTCTATTGATTAATTAAGCATAAAATTGATGTTTTGATGATTAAAGATTGTAAATTTTAAATAATAAAGTGTTTAATTTTTAGATTTTATAAAGTATCAAAAGTTAGGGTCTTAATTTATTAAAGTGTTGATTTTTAGGGTTCTTTTATCAATTAATTTGGGGGGTTTTGAATACCCATTAATTTTGACTAATTAACCAAGTATAAAGATATGATTTTGATGAGTTTGTAAGGGGTTTTTAACAAATTAATGTTGCTGGAATTTTATTCAAAGTTGTAGAATTATGATTTTATTGAAAGGGTTAATTACCCATTAAAGAAAAGTGTAATTGGGGGTTTTTAAATAATTTTCAGATTATATGGTTAGAATCCAGTCCCCTCCCAATTGTTGTTGCGGGGGATCGAACACAAGTCCTCCCTACCAAGTATAGTCCAAATCACTCAGTGTATTTTTTTTTTGAAGGGGGGAGATTAAAGTTCATTAATAATAAGCCATACGGCACTTACATAAGAAATCGTAATCGAACAATACAAAGACAAAAGAACCAATTACAAGTTCGAAATAAAGGAAACTACAATTGCACGCGCAAAATGACTTTCTGAAATACCCTTGGCTCATATAACGCTGTCCTATGCAGCCTCTTGCAAGGGGGACTGGCAATATGTTGTAGTTTCTGACGAGAACCTTCATTGGCTTAGAATCCTGTACTCCTCGACCTGAAATCAAAATTGGTGTCGTACACTTCACCATTGACAAGACAATCTCCGATTTAAACACGGATATCGGCATGGAAGCATAACCCTTTAGCCCAAACCAACAAAAGATCAAACCAAAGCCCCATAGCCAACAAACCCGACTCAAATCCTGCACCAGAAGATCGGTACATCGATCTGCACACCCCATAGTACACCAACACACCACACAAAAAGAAAAAATAACAAACCCAAATAACACACAAAGACGGAAACAGGAAACCCAAACACTACACATACCACTAATAGAAAAAACAGGAAGAAACTTAAAAACAAGAACTACGAACGGAACCCTAACAACCCACCCCGCCGCCACTCCGAGCACAACCACCAAACCTCCGAGGTTCACCAACCCAACCCACATGCCGCCTGAAAGTAAAACTCGGACCGCCAATACCCGCCCGAGAAACTCAAACCCCACACACCCCTAAACCGTGGCAACGACGGCTGGAGACACCAGACTAAGAACAGCCCTACGCGAGGGACTCAGAGGGAGATAACTCACCCTCCCCGTTCTCGAACACAACGTCGCGACGACGGACAAAACGGAGGGGCCTAGACACGGCGGGGAAGCGGAGACGAAAACCGGCGGCAAGCCGGCAGCAAGGCCGGTGAGGAACTGACGCGGCCAAAGAGGGGAGGCGGTGCACGTTACAAGGCCGAAAATACAAAAAACCAAAACGAAAACGAAAACAAAAACGAGAAAGGAAAAAAACAACCTAAGGGAGTAGATCGGAGGCTCGCTGACACCGTGGCATGGGCGGTGAGCCGAACGCCCGCCGGCGAGCCTCATGGCCAGAGCAGTTTTTGGGAAAGCGGTAGGGTTTGGGGGAGAGAGAGAGCAGTTTTTGGGAAAGCGGTAGGGTTTGGGGGAGAGAGAGAGCAGTTTTTGGGAAAGCGGTAGTTTTTTAAATCACTCAGTGTATTTATTTAAGTAATTGTTATTACTCCATACTATAATAACTAATGTTCGAATTCTTCCCAAAAAAAAAAAAAAAAAAAAAAAAAAAAAAAAAAAATTAATGTTAGAATTCTATAAATTTCCCAACCCATATGCAAATACCTCAGAGGAAGAATTGGTATACGATGTTGGATTATTTTGACTAAGTATTCCGTATTTTTTTTTTTTTTTTTAGTTGTAATACATTAATTTTCGAGCTATTCGTGTGTAAAAGTATAGATTATTATAAAAATTATGTGATGCTTATTTGTCTCCCCGATTAAAAAAAGAGGAGTAAAGCATTCACTACGTGAAAAAACGAAATTGGCACCGGTTCAAACCCGGCCTAAGGCACCGATTTGAACCGGTTCCAATGTGGGGGTGCCAATTACCCCCCTTTTTGGCACCGGTACAAATATTATCCTCCTTTTGGCACCGGTTAACCGGTGCCAAAAATGTCCAAAAAAATATATTTTTTTTTTCACTTACCAATAAAATCGACTGAAAAAAATGACAATCACAACAAAAATCGAATTGGTTTCAATATATATAATCCAAAATTTACAATACATAATCAAATCCAAAATTACAATATAGATCAATTACAACTAACATATAAATAAATAAAAAAAATTACATTATAAATTATAAAAAAATTATAATATACTCGTAAATCAAAAAGAAAATTACAACATGAACATATCAATATTCTTGCATAATTTGTACCTGCACTAATTAAAACAGAAAAAAAAAAATCAATTGGTAAAAATAAGCTTAAGAATAAATAAAAAAAACCCAGATATTCAAGTCGAAATAAAAATCGAAATTAAAGTTTGAACCAGAATTTCAAGTTTGAACCAAAGAAAACCCAGAAATTCAAGTTTGAACCAAGAAATTCAAGTTTGAACCAAGGGAAAAAAAAACCCAGAAATTCAAGTTTGAACCAAGGAAAAAAAAAACAAAAATTGAAATCGAAATTAAAAAAATTATCAAAAACGAAAAAAAAAAAACCAAAATTGAAATCGAAAAAAAGAAACCAAAAATTCGAAAAAAACAAAATCAAAGTTGAAAAAAAAAAAACCAATTAAAATTGGAACCCAAAAAATCAAAATCAAAAACAAAATCCCAGAAATCGAAAACAAAAACCAAAATCCAAAATCAAAATCAATATTGAAAACCAAAAAACCAAAATCAAAAACGAAATCCTAGAAATCGGAAAAAAAAAAAAAAAAACCAAAATCAAAATTGAAACCCAGAAAACCAAAATCGAAAAAAAAAATCCCACAAATCGAAAAAAAAAAAAAAACCAAAATCGAAAATAAAAGGCAAAATCGAAAAAAAACACCAAATACGAAAAACAAAACCAAAATCGAAATTGGTGAATCGAAAACAAAAACAATTAAAATCGAAAAAAAAAGCCAGAACTTGAAAAAAAAAATCCCATAAATTGTTGTTGATGTTGATGCCGGTGGTGGTGCTCGAACTTTGTGGTGGTGGCGGCGGCTGTTGTAGCGCTAATTCAAGCTTTGGTTGCTGCAGATCTAAGGGGAGAGGAGATCGAAGGGAGAATATGAGAGAGAGGAGATCGATGGAGATGAAAGACTAAAGAAGAACGAAGAGAGAGAGAGAGAGAGAGAGAGAGAGAGAGAGAGAGAGAGAGAGAGAGAGAGAGAGAGAGAGAGAGGAGATCGATGGAGATGAAAGAAGAAAGGAGAACGAAGAGAGAGAGAGGAGAGAGAAGGAGGAGAGAGAAGGAGAGGAGAGGAAATGGAGGAATGGAGGGGGGGAGAAGGAGGAGAGATAAGGAGATCGAAGGGTTTTAGGGTTTTAATGCTCCGTTTTTTTTAAAGGTTAGGCCGGTTCAGTGGCACCGGTTCAAACCGGTGCCCTTTGTATTTTTGGCACCGGTTTGATCTGAACCGGTGCCATTACTCTTGGTCTAAAATCCCGCCCATTTTTAGGGCGGTTTTTTGCACCGGTTTGGTCTGAACCGGTGCCATTTGGGGGTTGCCTTTTTGTATTTTTCTACTAGTGATTATCCAATAAAATTCACACTTTCAGCCTTTAACGCCTATTACATATTAACAATGTAATCTCTACCTTATAAAAAGTTTAAGAAAACTCTTATGAAGAGTGCATATATATCAGTACATTTATATTCTTAAAAATGTTATATATATATATATATATATATATATATATATATATATATATATATATATATATATATATATATATATATATATATATATATATATATATATATATATATATGTGTGTGTGTGTGTGTGTGTGTGTGTTAGGAAAAATGTTCATTTACATATTTGTCCCCAATTGATTTCAAAAGCCTTATAATTGTCTCTTGAACTCCCTATATATTTAAAATGTTATGTTTATTTCAATATTTAAATCCATCTTTTACTCTTTTTTTTTGTGTCATATATATATATATATATATATATATATATATATATATATATATATATATATATATATATATATATATATATATATATAAAACACATTTATATTTTAACATCAATCTCAATATATTTTTACTATTTAATCACTAATCAAAGAAGCTCAATTAAAATTTAAAAGATTACACAACTATAACAATTATAATATCTAACACATGCATTCATCATTTATATGCAAATAATTTTAATAAACAATTATACAAACATGAAACATGCATAGGGCAATAAGAACATCGGCAATAGTTATTCTCAAAGGGCTAATTATACTGCATTGAAATCCCATTTATCATAAGGTTGATATAGTTTTCATTACATTCACATAAAAATATAAAATCAATAATCAAAATAAATTTTTTCTTGTTTTTTTTATAAAAAAAAAAACAATAGAATTTAACAAATTTTTCTTACGTTTTAGGTCTTATATATGGAGTACAAAGCTATGGGAAACAACATAAAACGACAATAGTTATTACATTCTATTTGTAGAAATAATATAAGGAACTAATATTTTGCTCCAAGTTGAAACTAATAATGTAATGAACTTCACCTCAACTCTTGCTCCACAACAAATTTTCTTTCTTACATATTTTTCTTGGCTCCTCCACACACCAAATAAATTAACAGTTCAAAGGAACACTGTGGAGCACAACCGTCTCGACAGTAAGTCCAGGCCCGAACCCGAATAAAACACCCCAATCGAGCCCATCGCCGGTGGTTGCCTTCCCTTCCTTCATAGACTTCTTCCTCATCTCATCCAGGATAAAGAGTACACAAGCACTAGACATGTTACCAAATTCACTTAGCACATTACGGGTTGCGGTGAGCTTCTCTTCTTTGAGGCCCAATTTGGCCTCAACCTGGTCCAATATTGCAGGCCCACCAGGGTGCGCAATCCAAAAGAGGGAGTTCCAATCACTAATCCCAAGAGGGGTAAAGGCCTCCTCAAGGGCCTTGTTAATGTTCTTAGAAATAAGCCCAGGAACATCTTTTAGTAAGTGAAAAGTCAGGCCCACTTCTCGCAAGTGCCCGTCGATTGCACCCTCGGAGTCCGGTAATATAGTTTGGGCGGCCCAAACCATTTTAAATAAAGGCCTTTCAATGGACTCATCTGGATCAGCACCAACGATCAATGCTCCGGCCCCATCCCCAAATAGGGCCTGGCCCACCATGGAGTCCAAGTGGGTCTCAGTGGGCCCACGGAAACAAATCGCGGTAATCTCAGAACAAACCACCAAGACGCGAGCTCCACGGTTGTTCTCGGCTAAGTCCTTTGCGAGGCGGAGGACAGTTCCGCCCGCAAAGCAACCTTGTTGGTAGAGCATAAAGCGACGAACAGAGGGACGTAGGCCAAGAAGTTTAGTGAGTTGATAGTCGGCCCCAGGCATGTCAACACCAGAGGTGGTGCACATTATGACATGGGTGATCTTAGACTTAGGCTGACCCCATTCCTTGATGGCCTTGACTGCCGCCTCTTTGCCGAGCCTAGGAACCTCAGATACCACAATGTCTTGGCGAGTATCCAAGGAAGATCCCATGTAAGTAACCATGTTAGGATTTTCCTTGAGGAATCCTTCTGTCAAGTGCATGTAACGTTTTTTAATCATGGACTTGTCACCTGTATAATTTCAAAATGTTGTTAAGAATAATGAAAATAATACGAGTAATTACTATGATTAATAAAAACAAAATTAAAAAACCATGTGATTTAATTAATAGGATGTGGACATGTATTCAACTACTTCGTACAAATGTATGTCATTAGTAATATAGTAGCAAAACAAGTTATGTTATTCAGTAGTAGCTAGTGTATGTGTAATGTGTTAAGTTTGAGAAAAGGGCACATTAATAATAATAGTGAAGGTCCCATTCCCTTCCGCATACATTCAAGAAGATAGTATCAAACTACTAGTCTGGACTAAGTTAATCCGTAAGGGATACTAGCTAGCTTAGTGTGGCAATTCATTTTACCTTAAAAAAATTATTATTAATACTACTACTCATTTCATAGTAAACATCTATCTTTAGTAAGTTTTTTTATTTTTTTTATTTTGGTAATTTTTTTTTTAACTATTGGTTAGGTACCACCTAAATACACACTAGCACATTAACGTCTGAACTCCAATTGAAACGTCATATCACAATAAGACTTCAAGCATTGAAAGCGTAGTAATGGGTTGCTCTTTTTGTCATCAGTACGTGACTTAATATGGTGGAACACAAAAATATCTTGGGTGTGTATGTAAAAAGAGCATACAAAAAACATTCTTCAACTACCTACTTCAAACATATATAATTTTGCAACTAGTAATGAAATAGAATCTTTACTTCTCAATTACAGATTTTAGCAATCAATATTTAACATTTGAACCTCTCACTCCTTTCTCAAAATTAATCATATGCCAATGTTATATATATATATATATATGTGTGTGTGTGTGTGTGTCTAATTAGGTTATTTAAGTTTAACAACTATCTAATATAGAAATTTTACTTGGACATGGCCATGACCCCATTACACATGGAAGGTCCATGCCCATCTAAAGACTAACATACCCATGAATTAGATTTTTATAACCTTCACTAAAAAAAAGGACTTGATTAGTTTAATATAATTAATCTACTATTAATATAATTAAAGAACCTATAACTTTTATATGTTTCCCTAAATTATAGACTCTTCCGCTTAAAAATTAAGACATAGATATTAGGTACGGAGTACCACTTATATTTATGCGTTGTCTCATAAAACCTTAATAATATAAAGTATAGACAAAAACTCGTAGAAATAAGCATTTTACATAAGCTCTAAACTATAAATAATATGATTAATTAATGATTGCATAAGTGAAACTAATATTGGAGCTACAAGTTCAAGTAAATAGATATGACACTTTGAAATTAATAATAGTATAATAATTTGACTTAAGTCACTTCAGTTTTGTTATATTTACCTTATTTTCATCAAACTAACTATGTTTTGAGATTTAAGCTTTTTACTTGTTACTTGAGGCAGAAAAGGTTAGAAAAACATGCAAGTAAATCATACTAGCCACGCAAATATATAAATGGCATCATGCATGACTGTACATACATTTTTACTTTGTTTTTTTTTTTAATTTTTTTTTGTTAGAAAAACTACAAACATACATCTTTACCTGTTACTACTGCATTACACCAATATAATAATTATATTGTATTATTATATATCATAAGATATATATAGCCAATCAATGCAAACACATAATAAACAAATTAATTAAGTGTATAAAAATAAAGAATACGTACACATGCGCTTAAACTTTTCCTTCAGCTCAGTCATATGCTCGCTCTTGGTAACCCGAAAATAATAATCCGGGAAATCGGATTGATAAACACAATTAGGTGGTGTTGCAGTACCAATTGCCAAGATTGTTGCTGGCCCATCTGCTCTTTGAGCTTTGCGAATTTCCTCTAATGAACTTGTCATTTTTATTTTAGAAAGATGTTACTCACAAAATTATTAAATAAAATAGGAAAGTATTTTTATATTTTGTAGTAATATAGTAGAAGTTGTAGGATGAATAATGAAATCGTAACGTAGGACTTTATACGAGTGAAAAGAGTTTTGCTAGGTTGCATGGAAGGGCAGTTAGTGTCCACGTGTTTGTTCCCTTTGTGGTTAGATATTTTGCCACATCTATTCACTCTAACATCAACCTAAATTTAATTATTGTGTTATTTTCACTATTCATATTATTTTATTTTATAATTATAATATATATATTTCTTCTAGGACGATTTCTGCAATTAGATTAGCAGAAATTGCGACCTTGTTTTCCTTTCAAGCTGCGCTACTTCAGTCACTCCATATTATGTATCAAGATTGTGATCTTGGTAAAATACAAATTTTATAAATTATTCAGTAATTATTCTTTGGATAAAGTCAATAAGTATAAATATTTTTTTCCCACAAATTTTTATATATTGCTGGCCACATTGTATGGCCGGGATTACTTATAATAGTTACTTATTTTGGGGTACTCGTTTGGTTAGGGGTTACTTAAAGGGGACCCTTATTCAGGAGTCGTTACTTATTCAAGAAATACTATCGGTCAGGGGTTACTCTCGCATGAAAATCGCATTAACCGACTGAGTAAATTTAGAATAAGTAACTCTTAACTGACTGAGTAACCCCGGCGTAAACGCGTTAACCAACTAAGTAACCCTAGAATAAGTAACCCTTAACCGATTGAGTAACTCCTAAATAAATAATCCCTATATGTAACTACTAAAAGCACTTTTTATTATTATTATTTTACATTTACTCTTTCTTTTTTTTTTTTGACGGAGAAGTATAAATATCCTTTTATTGATGAAAATTAAATTAATTAATGATCATATTATACATTATATGAATAATATGCATGAGTAGGATATTTGTGCCAGAAAAGTGTTAAACCATAATATATTGTCTTTTTGTTCCACATATTTCTTCTCACTTGGTGTACAGCGGTAGAGCCACATAATAGCAACAAGTCAACAACAACAACTAAAAGCTACTTGTATAGTATAAAAGCAAGTAAGACTGTAAGTTTCAATTTAGTACCACAAGTTAAGTTAGTGAAAATAAATCATGAGTAGAAAAAAATTATTACAGTGTAATAATAATTTAAATTACATTTAGAAAACTTAGTTACAAAAGGCCGAGGGTACTTGTAATTACTAAGTATTTTTTGAGGTGAGAATAGACAGTACTAGTAGGTAATTACAGTATAAAAACATCTCACAGCATATATAGGGGGTCAAATTTTGATCAATATTTTTTTAATTATTATTTTCTAAAAAAATTTGCCAAAAATTACTATTTAAAAGACTAGTTTTGACTTTTGAGAACAATAGCTTCTTAATTATTTTTATTTTTTTTAAATTTAACACAAAAACACAAAAGATTTGAGTAGCACCCATCTGTTCATGTTTTTAGACTAGAATCTTCACTATTGGGCAATGACATTCAAATTCTCTAAATCCCTTGAATTTATAAAACCCTAATTTTAATTTTTGACAAATAAGAGCTCAAACTCCCAGATTCAATTGAAAAAATAAATTATTTTTTGCTGATTTTATAACTTATTTTTTTATTGACGCTTTCTGTGTGGCAACGTCATGGGGCCGCTTGTTAAATTAAAAAAGCGAAGTAACCCTTATAACACTAACAAAATAAGTCCATTATAATGATAGAGTAACTCCTTTTAGTGACGTGGTCTCTTTGTCCATTTTGGATGGGTCTCTTTGGCCAATTTTTTTTTTTTGGGTGTTCCATCCGGTTCATCCTTTGGGCTAATCCGGATTCGGGGATCAATTCTGGGTGGTTAGGTTCCAGTCCCCTCCCGATTGTCGTTACGGGGGATCGAACACGGGTCCTTCTTTGGCCAAATTTGTAGTAGTAGTATAACTATGTAACAGCTAGACTATTACACTAAACAAGTAGCCCCATAATGGCTGGCCACACGGCCAACCAAATGTAAAAGTTAATACACATTTTTTTATCGATAAAATTATTTTTACTAAACTAAACTAAACTAACTTTTGCTGAACTTAACTTACATTTACCATTCATTAAATATTATTTGAATAAGGTAGTAACAATTTATTATTAGATTTATAGTATAGCAATTAGTCACATGGACTTATGATTAGCAAGAAGTTTTAAGGGAATATTGGTATGTATTTGTTGGTACATAACAAGGGCATAATAGTAATAACTTAGTATAACAGTAAAGGTGATGTGATGAGAATCAAAGATAACTCAACTACTCAAGTTGTGTAAGCTTACCTCATCTCGGTTTTCGGTGATCTTGGGTTCGATTCACGTCACTCACCCTTGTGGCTCTCTAAATACTAAAAAAACAAAGAAAGGTAATGAGACCACATATTTTTACTTTAGTTTTCAGGGTTTGAATGTATCATCATAGTTATTTTAGTACCATTATTGCAACCAATCATTATACAGTTACACTACCAGTGACACAATTTTACAGCCTAGTAGTATTAATTTATAAAATATTTATGAATTTGCTATATATGTACCAACATATACATAACAACACTGCATTACTACTTCTTTGGCAAGTATGTAGGTTTGTAAAGGAAAATGGGTACGCATCACACAAGTGTATGGTTGGTGCCTTGAGCCCTTGATGGGTAATATACTATGGAGTAATATGAATATTCTATATGGAAATTTATGATACCTTTTTTTTTCAATTATTATTTTTTTCTTTTCTTTTTACATAGGGTTGCTACTTGCTACCGATCCAGTAAATTTCGAAGGTCATCAATTCTAAGACCCAAACTTTATTTTTGAAAGAAGTGCTAAACGACACTAAATTTCATTAATAAAAGTTATACGACATCTACCATTCACAATAAACAATAATGAAAACTATTTTAACAAAATCAAACAAGAATTAATCAGGGAAGGGCTAAGAATCCAAATACATAAATATAACAATTCGACACATTCTCGATTCGTTGTCTCATACAATTTTTTGGGTAAATCCGTCGTCATTTGGCAATTTTGTGAGAAAGTAAATTCTTGTGTTAATTCCGCAACCCGAATCCGAGCCATAATCAATAGTAGCCCCGCACTCCCGGACCAAAATAAACACAAATAAAACCTTTTCTTTTGAAAAAAATATGAAAAATCTTGTCTTTCGAAGGAGATCGAAAAAAATCTTTTCTTTCGAAGGAGAAAAACCCTTTCTTTCGAGGGAAGCATTATTGTAATCTTAAACGAAAAGGTTAACAGAAAATAACAATTAGGGTTTTCCACCGGTGAAATCTGATAGAAGCTCCTTTAAAATTGACAATAAAGACTAGGTTCAGAGAGAAGAGAGAAAAGCAAGACCCAAACTCTAGTTCGAGTTTGTAGTATTTGACTCTAACCTACCATGCATGGCTGGTTTTTTTTGGCGGGTAGTCTGCAATGATGGGTGTGTTATGGCCTATTGGCCTAGTGGATAAGACTATCAAGCAAGGAGTCACAATAATTTTATTTTATTTTTGGTAATTTTCCTTGATTTAATTTAAGTATTTTCATTAATAAAAATATTTTTATATTGTGCATAAAGTCAGGGTTACAACAAGAATAATCTATCTATTAGGTATAATAGCATGAGAATATTAATTTACATTTATTCAATGATATATATATATATATATGAGACCATATATATATATATATGGGATCATATGAGACCATATCCCTTATGTGAGAACCCTATTATATGTGAGAACATATTACAACAGTTGGATCAATTGCATCCAATGGCTACGATTTATCCCACTCAAACATAATTTCAAAAACAATATTCAAACGTTTTTTCTCTCCTCCTTCATTCGACGCGCCATTTTCTCTCTCCTCTTTCAATTTCTCTGCTCCCTTTCTTACTGCTATTTGCTTTGATTCTTCTTCAAACTTCTTTGATTCTTTGTCAATGTGATTTTCGTTGATTTTAGTTTGATTTTCGTTGATTTATTTTAGTTTAGATTTGATTTTAGTTTGATTAATTAAGGTTTTTGTCAATTGAATTCTTCATTAATTAAGGCTTTCGTCAATATTTTTGCGATTTTTAGCGATTCTCAATTCAATTTCCGTTCGAAATGTTTGGTCATTTGACAACTAAGTAGCAACTTAGTTAAATTAGCAACTAAGTATTTGCTCATTTGACAAAGGAAAAATTGAAAAGAATAATCCCACCTTTCGCCCATTTGCTCAAAATAATCCCACCTTGTAACCCCATCTTCCCAAAATGAACCTTTTTACCTTCAACCTGTAAAACAGGTTAGATTTATTATTATTATTATTATTATTATTATTATTATTATTATTATTATTATTATTATTTATTTATTTATTTTCCTCTAATCTCTCTTCTCTCACCTCACCCCTTCCATAGTTGCATCCATGTCAACCACCATAACCACCTCCACACCACCACCTGACCTCCTCCCTAAATCCTAATTCCAACCTATTCCCATCCCCACGCCCTTTCACCACCACCTGACCTCCACCCAAACAACTTCACTGCACGCAGCCACCATCTCTAACCTAGCAACAAACAACCAACAACGTTGTGCCACCCACCAGCTCGCAAACAACCCACAAAATAATCCCACTACCTCAAACGGCAACAATCACGAAATAATCCCACAAATCAACGCCTCCAATTTGAACAAAAATAGCAGGCTAAATCGGGTTGGAGGTGGTTTTCGTGGGTTAGGTGGGGAGGAGGTTGTTTTTCTGTCGATCCAGACGTCGGCCGACTTCGGGTTCAGGGTTAGGTTTGTTGTTAATCCATTTCTTCCATTTCAAGTGGGAAATCGGGTTAAGGGATTGGGGTTTCAGGTTGTGATGGTGGTAAGGGGCGGCAACAGGGGTTGTGATGGTGGTGATAACCAACATCAGGGGTTTTGATCGAGGTGATGGTGGTGACAAAGGGGTGGCGGCAGGGGGTTGTGATGGTGGTGATGGTAGCGATGATGGGGGTGGTCGTGGCCGGGGCTGGGATAATT